TGAGTTTTGTTCTTATAGCCAGCGTGATGGTGCATTGCTTTAATCCCAGTGCTCGAGAGGCAGAAGCAGGCAGATCTCTATGAGATCGAGTCCAGCTTGATCAACATAGTGAGTTCCAGGCCAGGTCAGCTGGGGCTACAGGGAAACCCTGTCTCAAAAACAAAACAAAACAAAAAAATTACTTTTGTAAATTTTTCAAGGACATAAAATTTTGTCACTAAGTATTATACCCATGACATACAATAGGTCTCTAGAATTTGTTTCTTGGTCTTGGTCTAACAGAAATTTTATGTCCTTTAACCAATAGCTCCCCAATCATCCAGCCCTGGCTCCTGATAACCACCATTTTACTCTCCATTTCTAGGAGTTCAATTTTTTTTTCTCTTTTTATGACAGGGCCTCCCTACAGCCCCAACTGGTCTGGAACTTTCCATGCAGATCAGGCTAGCCTTGATTTCACCAAAATCCACCTGCCTCTGCCTCCTGAGTGCTGGAACTAAAGGCCTGTACCACCACACCAGCTGAGTTCAACATTTTATATCCCATATATAATGAGATCACTTAATGCCCTCAGTACCACCTATGTTGTTGTAAAAGGCAGGATTTCCTTTCTCAAAGCCAAACAGTATTCCACTGTAAGTATTTTCCTTACCCGTTTATCTGTAACGGACACTAAGTTGCTTCCATTTCTTAGCTATTAGGAATAGGGCTGCAGTGAGCATGGAAGTACAGATAGATGTCTCTGACATTCTGATTTCACACCCATCAGGTATTCATAAAGATGTGCTTTGGGAGAGGATGATCTCTGGTGTTTAAGCTTTCACTTTTAGTGGGATACTTACATTCTACACTGAATTTTAATGAAACTGAAAAGCTATACCATAAAGCAACTACACTTGGTAAAAACCTTTGTTAAAACCATAAATACAGGCAATTTACTTGACAAAATCTATTTTTCAGCTGTTGATTGGTTTAGTTGCAAAAACAAACAGGAGAGTCTCTACATATACTTAGGGAAGAGGAAGCACTTCTCTCAGGGGTGAATTTGAGATCAGTTATAATCATAAGTGTGGCTGGAGAGAGAATATGCAGAGAGGATGTCAGAGGGCTCAGGGCTAAATCTTAAAAGGCAACACTTCTGGTCTGAAGGAAGAAATGGGACAGGGGAGAACGCTATCTTTCAAAACTATGTGTTGGCTACAGTTGTAGCTTAGTAGTAGATTATATGCCTAGCCCTGGGTTCCAGCTCCCAAAAGAAAAGTTTTGTTTTATTTCTGTTTTATTGAAGAAAGGCATGGTGTTTTCAAAGACCCTGTGAAATATTGTGCTGAAATATTTAAATATTATATTACAGCAAGAAAAAATGAAATAGAGACTATCATCCACAGAGCAGAATTTGCTGTATGGACAGTGTATCTTACCAGATACCTCCCCACACATGGAGAGGTATTAAAAGTATTACAAGGATGATAGGGTGTCGTTTGGCAAAGTGCTTGCAATACAAACATGAGGACCTGATTTCTGATTCCTAGCACCCACATAAAAAGCCATGTGTGGTAGTGTGCACATTTAACCCCAGTGCTAGAAATCAGAGAAGGGAGAATCCCTGGAACCCATAGGCCGGTCAGCCTAGCCAAATCAGTAAGCTCAGGGTCCAGTGGCTCTATTCTGTAGCCCTATCCTGGAGAAAATAATTCCTAGGTTTTTACTTAGAAACAGTAAAACAGCCTACAGATCTGACAGTTCCTTTCAATTTTGTGAATACAAACAAGACATGCATTTCCAGTGAGCTATAGCCCCAACCCAACATGTTCAAGTGAATCATGAACATCACAGTTCTTCTGACTGTTTGGCCAGGCTCAGCCAGTGCTTTACACAGGCTTTTCAATTTCAGTTCAGTTCAGTGTAGAGACTTCCATTCAAAGTAAGAGCTCCAGGAACAGAGGTTTTCTGAGCTAATGTTCCAACAATTCTATTATCCTTTTATAAATGAAATCTGGAGCCCCAGGGTCACCAAGGCTCTGAGCTGACAGCCAGGCTCTCCAGCCCCAGCACCAGACCCTGCTCTGAGCAGTCTCTCAGCAATTTGTACTGCAGGTTATGGTCACGTTTCACCACCTGGATGGCCTGTTTGCAAATGCCCCCACTTTCTCCATCACAGAGGTTTACAATCTCAATCGTTTTGGATTCCTTGTTCTCCTTGGCTTTATGTGGATTCTAGAACCTAGACAGGCCATTGAGAGGAAGCAAGTTGGCCCTAACTAATGGGGTCACAAAGCCCCAAGGTTCAGTCAACTGACATTCACAGCAGCTTACTTGAAGGAACCCTTCTGCAAGGGACTCGAGTACTACAATACAGCAGCCCCATAATGTCCCACACCAGAATCAACTGAACTTCAGAAAGCTGTGCCCCAACAAACCAGCAACCCCATTTCCAAGAGGTATTTTTCATTACTTTGGGATAATCTTCAGGGTTAGCTATTTTGTCCGCCCACTGAATGGCGGAAGCAATGTGCTTCCTCTCTACCCTGGTCTCACACACAGGTCACCTCCCATGACCAGCAGATTTACAAAGAGGGGCGGG